GATCAACTTGTTTTTCTCCAGATACCAAAATAAATAGTTTTTCAAGATGATCCAATGTTTAATTTGACACTGTTACCATTAGTTATAAAACTAAGAAAAAAAGTCTAAGGAAGTTATCATCCAGAATTGTAGAAAAATGTTTAGGGTAGTGCAGTAAAGCTTGTCCTTAAAATTTTTTCCCCGCATTACTTTTGCACTGTAAGTAGTTTTAGAAATGGTACTTTCACACTTTTACTTGAGTAAAAAGCTTAAGGTGATACTCTAACTTCTACAAAAGTGTTTTTGAACAGGATTTTAAATAGGATTTCTACTTCTCCTTGAGTAATAAACATGCATAAGTTTGACACTTCTGGTTTTTGGTCTCTACACCATTAAATCCTAATAAAATGGTCACGAATATTTCACAAAGGAAAGCATGAGAATTGAACTGAATTTTAAAATATAGATTATGCAAAATATCAAACTTTTTTGGGGTTTGTTCATGTAGATGAGTTAGTTTGGGGATTGAAGAAGATAGATGGACAGCTACTGAAACATGGCAGGATTTCCCTCAGAGCACAGAAACTGATCCCCCCCAATGCAGAGACTGTCGAAGTATATCATATGACAACAATTGTGTCAGGTCAGCTTCGTTTTTTACCCGACTGCTGGAGACAGAAGGCTCAGAGTGCTCACCGTGTCCTGATGAATGAGGCCGTATTTGTGATGCATTAACGTCCAGGGATATCATTCGGGTGCGACTGCACTGTGTGGCTGCAGAAAGTATGCTCTTTCTTAGATGAAGCTAACACAACAAGCTAAACTTAATGAAAGCTATACTCAGTGCCATGACTCTCTCCAGGATTTTATGATTCTGACCACTGTGTTCTTGAAGCCTCTGATCTTTACCCTCACAGTTCACATTGAGCTCTGCCAGAGCTTGCTGTCTTATTTTTCCTCCTACAAACTTTGTTGCTTTTAGGTTTTCTTGCTATTAGCCTCTTTTTATGCTTCATATCTCCATTTTGCTATTAGCTTCATGAGTGTGTCTCAACCTAGGCCTCCAAAGTGGTATATAGTGAAGCTAAAACATGCTGAATTGAAAAAAATACAACTTAATTCTTCCAACAGAGGACTGAGCTGCGAGTCTCCAGGCAGAGATTAAACACTGACTTTCAGAATGTCAAATTAACGCCTCAATTCATGTTTAACCTAGTTTCATTTTGCAAGAAAATAAAGAAGCCTGTCCAGAGGGGCTGTTAAGACCCTCATACAAGCTGCACCTGTTAAGATGGCTAATTGGGTTTAACATTTTTCATCACCTTTTAAGGTCTTGAGGCCAAAATCTCATTTCAGCAAGAGAAATCTGGGGAGGAAAAGTAATGAGGCAAAGCTTCACATTAAAGTCATCAACAAAAATACCAAGAGCATATTTTCAGAACTGCTTAAAAACTTATATAGTAGGAACAAAGAGGTAATCCACTGCATTCGACAGATTAGTTGGTCTGACCTCACAGAGAAAAGTAAATTAGTTTTTAAGACGTAAAGATAAACAATAAGCAATTCAAAAATCCATTAAAGATCAAATTAAGCATTTAATTTACTGTACGAAGGATTTTAGATATTAATTCTTAATTTACTTCATTAAACTGTGCTTTATTACCTTGTCTCAACCCACAGCATTGAGGGTGATACAAACTGAAAACAAAACTGACAGCTGGTCCAGGGGTCCGTTTCACAAAGCAGGTTTATTCAAAATTTTTAAAACCTGTAACTCTGAGACCTCTGTTTCAGTCGCCATAGTAACGTTCTCCCCAGGACATTCCTCCGGTTAAGGTGCAGGTTTTGGTCAGTAAACTCTCTCTCTCACTATCCCCGCTCTCCTTACAGCTAATCACGTTGTTTTATTTCCTGATTTAGCCAGCAGATTTTTGTTAAAGATACAATAAAGAAAATCATTCACTAGGTCTGTTAGACACATTAGGTGTTACAAACAAACATGGCAAGTCCTTTTAAAGAGGATCTTATCAAAAATGATCTGCACTAATACACAGAGAAGTAAATATTTATAGGGAGAGGATCTACAACTTATTTGACCGGATATGAGATTCATTTGTTTTTGGTTTATTAAAAAGAGCGACATGTGGATAATTTTTATTTATGGATTTATTTTTACAGTACATGAAGAACTGCTGAAATTACATTCAGATTATACATATATAGGTTAATTAATTCCGTGGGTAAAAAAAAATAATACTTCAGGGTTAGGATTAGGATTCTGACCCTGATAACAACCTACTGAGCCTACTGGGAGGTAAGAGGCACAATCTGAAGTCATTCTATGTGACTGATAACAGCTAATAACAAGCATTTATTGGGGGATAATATCCGAAGCGACTGCAAACAGACAGTGTTTAGTGTGTAATGAGATGATAAATGGGTCCTATCTGTTTGAAAAACCTTTTTAGACTTCATCTTAACCTAAACCCGTAATGTTATTGTGGTCACAGCAAGCTATGGCAGGCCATTTTAATAAATTTTAGTTTTACAGAATATGTATTCCTGATATCTGAAAAAAAAAAAAAATTTTTCCTTTTCAAAATGACAATTTGAAACAAAATTACACTTTTCTTATCTAGAATAAATATTCTGGATGTCCAGAAAATAATTTTAGATCTCCATATTCCCATTGTCAGCATTTGTATTATTTTGACTATGAAGACATGTTTTTCGGATATCATAAATACATATTCAGTCAAGCTGATAAATTTCTAAACAGCCAGTTAAAATTTGTAAAAAAAAATTCTCTCTATATAAAACCTAATTCTTATGAGTACAGTTTTGTTTCTGCTGCAAAAATTTAATTTTAAATCTGTTATTACAGTTCCAACTAGGAATGTGATTTTCACCAGGAAGAATCAGAGAGGAGAGTGCTTTTAATAAATGAAAAATAGCCTTCCATACAGGACTTCATATAAACTTCTGCATTAAGTTGACCAGCAATCTTCTCCTACTATCTTCCACTCCCTTTTAGCTGTAACACTGTTTCTCTGTCTTTTAAACACATTCTCCTTTTTTTTATATTCGTGCATTGAAATCTCTACTTCCAGTAGAGTGAAATAGGCACTTCCTGTTGTTGTTGCCATGGTGACTTATTGATTCGGGGCTCCACTGATGATGGCTTTTGTTACGCCAAATGTTCATCTAATCATCTGCTGTGAGTTACTTTAATCAAACTAATTCACAGCAACTTTTATAAAACTGAAAACTCAGCGTTTCCAGCCTCAGGCTGTTTCAATTCAGAGTTTAGGATTTGAGTCTGAGTTTGTTTAACCGGCTTTGTAAAATGGAACCCTGCGCTCTGATCAATCTACTTATTGTTCCTGGTCATCTGGAGGGAAAGGCTAAAGCAATAGAATTTTTAGATGCTTATTTGATCCTTAAATGTGGAAGACGTCTAAATGTAGAGGTCATGACAGAAGTAATCCTTTCTGGACTGAACAAAGGAAATAAGGAAAGGAATTCCACAAACTTGACAATAAACATTCAATGTCTGAGCAGGGACACATACTTTAAAGAGGTTATCATCCTAGTTATTCAGACATGTGTAACATCTTTCAAGTTAACACAGAAAATCTCAAGACAGTAAGCAGTGCGACAGCGGTATTTTAAAAAAAAAAAAGCTCAGAATATGGTTAATAACATCATACAAAACACTGAGAAAATAAAAGGATTTTACAACAATGCACTAAAATATCAAGTCAAAAATTTACAATACAGTACATAGAAAGGAAGGATACCCTTAAAGATCAGTTTATTTGCTAACCTTTCAAACCGTGTAGAGGGAACCAAAGGATTTAGTGATATTCAGTCTGACTGAGTTGTATTTTGGTATTTCATGTCATACACAGCAGCTTTTCTGACACTTCCAAGCTCACTTTGTTTAGTTTGCATACAGCATGCAAGCTGCAAATATAAAGTGTGCTCTATATTCATCTCTGAGGCAGGCTGTGTCACAATAACACCCTTCATTCCATTTGGTGAAATTACGCCATCCCTCTTCATGGCGCAAAAGACCCAAAACAACACTGAGTGCAGGAAGTTGAAAGCAGGGATTTTTCAGGCTCTTCCTTCATATAAGCTCTCAAAAAGGCTTTCACTGTGGACAACTTTCTAAAACCTAACTATTCTCTCCTCTGGTTACATCCTCCACCATCAGGTCTGTATCTCTCTGCCCATACAGTCCAATTTCCTCTGTCAGAATTACTGGTGCTGTTTCACATTTGTTGCAGGAGAAGCTTAGGCCATTTTCCTGATCTTTATACTGCTGGGAAGAAAGCAGTTGGAGACTATACACAGACTGTACTTTTAATTCACACAAATTTATTGGTGTGCATTCAAACAGTTCAGTTTAAGCTGGAAGCCATACAGAAATCTCTTCTTAGACATCTACACAATGAGACCCGTACAGAGATGACAGAGGAGGGAACAGATGTAGAAGATGAAAAGAGAGAAGGGGGGGAGAGATGGAGGGATTGGTAGAATGAGAGGGAGTGCGCTGACAGGACTGTGACGGGGCTTAATTACCAAGCAAGAACTGCACGCTGGAAGCAATTTCTAAGGATTCTTGTCATTTGAACGGATTAAAACGCCTTTTCTCTGGACTAAGCTGTCTCACTGCCAGCTTGTTTCTGTGGTGGATTATAAGTCAAGTTGAAGACAGAAGCATAACGGAGGAATGGAGGCAGAGAGCAGTGTCACAAAGGGCACCTAAGGCAACAGGCTCCAGCAAGAATAAAAACTGCCAAACCCTGTTTTTCCACAAGACAGGAAAGTGTGTGAACAGACAAGAAAATCCAAAAAGCTGAATACTCTCCCTCTTCCTCTGTTTTTATCCTGTCTGTTGCAGAGTGGATGTTTATAAATGCTGATATAAATCTATCATGAATTTTAAGATGAGCAATTGGTGCCTGTTTTAATGAACCCTTGTGTTTTCTCCTTGTTTCCCTCTATTCTGGTAGACATTGAGGGCTGTGAGCGCTCATGGAGAAAGTTCCACGGCCACTGCTACAGGTACTTCAGCCGCAGACACACCTGGGAGGATGCAGAGAAGGACTGCAGGGAGCACAGCGGTCACCTGGCCAGCATCCACAGTGCAGCAGAGCAGAACTTCATCAGAGGTTGGTGGATGTCAGTCTTCTCACTGAGAGTCTCTGGAGGCAAATTCACCAAGCAGCGCAGCATTTACATTTTATTACAAATGTTCCTTACTTGGTTAATTTCTGCACTAAATTCACAAAGAACTTGCACTTAATAAAGCAAATAGAAACATGTTGGATCAAGCGGCACCTACTTTTTTTTTTTTTGCAGAGAACTGCTAAACAGAGGAGGCAGTCTTCAAACCCTGTTACTGCAGGGTTAATGCTTTAGTTGCTTTTTCATCCATAGCTGATAAATAATGAATATTAATGATGAAATGAATAATTTAAAATATGATATTTCTGATTGAAATTAAAATTATGTCAGAGCTTGAAATAATATACACAGCTTTTCATTTCAGTTTAATTATTTTTTTAATTTTCAGAACATTTACTCAGTGATTTGTAGTAATTTTGTTTACAAATAGTATAAAACTAGCTAATATTTTAGTGTTGATGGTGATGTGGTACCTCAATCATATTTCTATAACTGTAAATCAAAAACTGAAAAAAAATATTTGGTCACATAATGTGTTTACATAGGGTTAAAAAGGCATCCTGTTTGAAAATGATGTGGGTTTTGAATCTGCATTTATTAAACTTAATTTTCGTTGTGATGCCTGAGGATATAATTAGTGTAAAAAAAAAAAGTTAATAAAACCGGTTATAAATATCTAGTCTTGTTTTACTACACAAAAAAGAAAAACTGTTTTGATTTTTTTTTTTTTTAGGAATACATCATCTCAAATCTAAATTTGAATTTAGTTTTTATAGGGATGTAAAAAAAAAAAAAGAAAGATTAAGTCACGTGGCTTAGTTAATAAACCCTCAATAGAAGCCTAACTTTCTATGGAAGTTCTGATTAGCCAGTTTATCTCACTAGAGAGAGACAACTTAAAACTGAAAATTGCTTCAGTGGAAGATAAAGTTTTACACCCTTCCTTTACTGTATCCTGGCTAAAGAATGAGCCCCTTTGTTAATTTTCTCTGAAAGTTTTGAAACAAACGTTTTTGGTTGTTGTTATTGTTTATTGAACTTTGTCAGATTGTTCAAACCTTAAAAACCTATTATGTTTATTGTGAGACCTCACAAAACATTCAAACAATCAACCTGTAAATTGGTTTATTTTAAGTTTTATTTTTGGGTTTATTCCACCACGTATTGATACCCGGTTGCTGAGGATAAAATCCTTCTGTTCTGTTCCTGTAGAGGAAACGGTCCAGCTCTGCTGTTGCTACAGCAGCAGGAAACTTTAATGAATTCCTTCTCTCAGCAGCACTTCTTCGACTTAGGAAAAAAAACATCATCAAACATATTTTTCTTCAAATCAATTTGTTTTTACGTAAGCATACAGGATGTCATTTTTAATACCTGTGTTTACTTCCTTCATTAGATCCAGGAGCATTTTTAAAAAGTTCTATTTTAGTTGGACTACGAAGCAATTCAGTTGCAGTTTCATGGGTCTGACAGGAAGAGAGACACAGTTACAAAGTAAAACACATCTGCTTTGGGGGAAAATCCAAAATTAAAATCTGTTAATCTCATGGGGAAAGAGTCTGTTTGGAGTGGAACATCACAAATATAGTAAGCAGGAACAACTGGTGCTAAAACAATGAATGAAACAAAAAACTAGAAACCATTACCCATGATAAGAGTTTAGGAGGACAGAAACCAGATGTAGTGATCCTCTTTGTGCCTCACAAAAAGAAATAAAAATAACAAGGACCAGACGGAGCAGGTCAGCGCAGCGTATCTCTCTCACCTCGTTATCAAAAAAAAGAAAGAAAAACTTGGATAAACTTCCCAGATCCCTCTCTGCCTCAGTCAGCATAGAAACCATCCCACAGTGATTATTGCTGTGTTTTTCTTTCTTTACAAGTAGATCTGATTATGTTTTTATATATATGAACATTCTCTATCTGTTCAGGTCTGATATGCTGCACAGACTCGTTCAATGGGGCTTTGCTTTATAGCTGCCAAAGTCAAATGTTGGAAATTGTTGTAATTTGTGTATAGCACAGAGACAGAAGTGAAAATATTCTGCACAGATCTGCTCACACTGCCGAGTCGAAGTTTCATATACACAGTCAGTGTGACATAAAAAAAAAATCGGCTACATATGTAGCTGTTGCTTTCAGGCCTTAACTCACATCTAGGGATGAAGCTCAGTAGCAGCTTTCAGCTTTTTTAAATGTTACAACAGTTATTATGGAAAAAAAACTTCACCTATAGTTTCATTAGAGCACAGTATCCGTCTCTTTTTCAGGCAGTAATCTAAATTCAATTTTTTCTCTATAAGTAGAAATTCAGCCCATGTCAGTACAAAGGCCATCTACTGTGGATAATGCTCTCTCATCCACTTCAGGTTTAATACATGTAAGGTAGTTTGCTTTTTTCTACTTTTGGGAAGTTTATTCACTAAAATAACTTCAAATACAGAACCGGGCCCTTACTGACCCCCTTTCCCCCTTTCTTCTTTGGAAAGAAGGGTAGTCTGCACTTAAGACAGAGAATTCATCTTCTTTCATAAGAGTAGATTGTCTGGATTGTCTGGATACTACCCTCTTGTTCCTAGTTCAACAAAGTTGCCTGAAAAGTTCATTATTGCACCAGAATATAATCTACTAGACATTCTCAGCAATGTTAGTATTTGTAGATATCATAAAAACACTATACTGTATGTTTTTATCTAATTTCCTCTGAGACTCTGTATAGAGTGTATGCAAGTATGTTTTCAACTGATTAACCAGCAACAGTGCTATGTTTACACCTACTTTTATTAAAGTAAATACATGCAATTCATTTTCTGTTTATCTTTGCATTTAAAAAATGTTACTCTTATTTTTCTTTACATTTTAGCAGAAACTGTGCGCTACGATTGTCGAGCACAAACAGCAGTTCATTCCACTCATTGTTATGATGTAAACAGGCTTTGTTCTGTCTGTTTGTGTGTCATGTCTTCACCCTCCTCCAGCAATCCATTGCCACTTGAGTTGCAATAACTTCAGCGCAGCAGCAGCCTGATCCTGAATTTTTCAACTAGCTGTCTGTCTCAATGAGACAACAGTGCCATCCATCAAGTTTTGTTTTTTTTGTTTACAAAAAAGTGCCGTGTTGCTTTGAAAATGGGTGTCTCCACCCCTGCAATAAAGGGTTCAGAACCATTAGCAAGATTAATGGACCCAGTAATGATGTTAATCATCACCGTGATTGAAATTGTTAATACATACAGTATGTGCAGAGACTTGCATCCCCACATAGGCCAAATGAGTTTAAGCCAAAACACCATTAGGGAAATTTGCTTTTACTACGGCTAAACAGCCACCATTAGTGCTTCTCAGACACTGCTGGTTTCTGCTGTTGTCTCTTAAAAAGCAGCCAATAAGGAAAACCTTCAGTTTAACACATGGAAGGATCACTGAACTTAACCAAACCTTAGACTCTTATCTTTGATAATATCCATAAGATAGTAAACTTGACTTTTTTCTTATCTAATTCATGAGACCTTGTTTTTTAAACAGACTTGAAGAACACAAACTAATGCATCATGTTAAGGAAATATTGAGCTTGTAATAGTTAATGAATCTAAAAGTTTTGATCCTTAATTTCTGTTTTAACTCTGATACAGGTCTGAGCCATGATAACACCTGGATTGGACTGAACGATCGTACAGTGGAGGACGACTTTCAGTGGACAGATAAGACAGACCTGGTGAGGAAGCAGCTGTTTCTGTTCTAACTGGTGGCTTTAAATGATAATTATGATTGATATGATGAAACAAAAAGGCTTGTGAGGAAGATAACATTTGTAACAAAACATGAACATGGTTTCTGTTAAGTACTTACCGCAACATAAACCCACTTAGGGCCGGATCTATCAAAGGTTTGCGTGTATAAAAACGTGAGCTATTTCACTGCGCACGCTAAAAAATGTACAAACTGATCTATCAACAGCGTGCTAAAAGGATTTGGTCTTTAAAACGTGCTAAATAGCGCCTCCTAAGTGCGTCTTGTGGGAGGAGAACATGTAATTTTATTAATTTAGCACTCGCAAAGTGATTTATCAAACCTGAAAGCAATTTTGCTAACGGTATCTGACTCTATATTTAACACGTTTCAAAAGAAGGTGCAAATGGTCTGTATGCGTATTTGCGCACACATGGCAGCGGTTATTGTCGCAAGAAGGAGACATCGAAATGAAGCAAGGAGACGCAGAGAACGCATTTTTTCACTCCGTGTGAATATTTTTGGAATGAACGAGGAAACTATCATCAAAACATATCGTTTATCCAGCATTGCCTTTTTGGAGCTGTTGGGGGAACTCCGAATGGATTTGGAGCCGGCCACAGCGAGCGCAAATTACTGCACGCAAAATTGGATCTTGATAAATCCGGCCCTTAATATGTTAGATAAACCATCCAAATATATTTATCAGGTAACAGAGCTCTTTAAAGTAATCTCCTCTGCCTTTAACATATTTATCATTTGCAGTGGGATACATTTTTTAATTTAGTGAAGGCCTTTGTGGTTAGGGCATAGACCTTGAAATCCTAAGGTTCTGAGTTGAAGCCCCACCTCCAGAGACTGCCACACTGGGTCCCTGAGCGAGACCCTTAACCTCACACTGCTCCTTGGGCGCCCTACGATGGCAGCCCACTGCTCCCCAAGGGGATGGGTTAACTGCAGAGGTATATTCCTCCAATGTGACATCATTAAAGTTAAATTATTATAAATTATTTTTAATATATAGCATAAATAGTATATAGTAAAAGTAGAGTTGATTTCTTTAACATGAGTAATAAGCAGAAAGCTGAAGTTAATTTAAATATTCAGCCCATGTTAGCCTCGTTTCCCAACCCCTCATTTACATCCAGGTGGTGAGGAAAGACAATGAACAATGCTGCCAGTACTCAGGCTGAGGGGGGATAAGGGGGGATGGCATCCTTCTTCATAAGAAAAAATCTTAAAAATCATCCGCTTTCTCAAATGACCATCCACCCATACCATACCCATATCCTGTCACTTTTTATTACTAAAAGTCTAAACTTTCTACTATATATTAGAAGTAATGGCAATAATATTGCTCTTTGAACATTTGGCTCGCTGTGGGCTTCGAGTAGCCTGAGTAAAATAAATAAAATCAAAATGTCCTACCATGACTATGAAACTGATCACAGAGGGAAATGAGTCCCTAACTCTGTAGGGGCAGTGATCGCCATGCTACTGTAGTCCAGGGACTGACTGCAGTTCTACTGTAAGGTGCCTTGGTCAAGGCTTGAGATGTAGCAACCATACCATGCATATTGCTTAAGGTCAGAGGTCTTCAACAGGGGGTCCACGGAGGTACTGCATGGGGGTCGCGAAAGTTTTGGTTGATTAGACTTCTTTTTATATTCCTCCCTGCACTCTTTTCCACTAATTGAAATGTCTTTAAATACACCTTAACATGAATTCAACACACAGTAGTAAACAGTTAAATGGAGGCAGAAGATGTCCTTCAGTCATCAATGCACACATTCAGCGATACACAGGAGCTCTTTCAAGCTGAGTGCTGGGGGGGAGGGCATAAAATCAAATACAAACAGCATAGAAATAAAACAAGCCGGTCCCATCTACGTAGGCGTAATCTGAGAAAATGACAGACGAAGTGTGCTCCTGATGTCCAGTCTGCTCCGTAGATTTGTTTTGGTCGCTGTAACAAAGATAGGATGTTATAGATAGGATGAGTCTTGAACTGAATTAACCTGTGTCAAGAGGCACAGATGCACCGACT